TCCACCATGAATGCAGGAAACAAACTGGGGAGTCTTCTGTGAAAGGGGTCTTTTACCTTCCATTTGGTGATGTGTTTCCTGTTTATGGGGCCGGCGCCTCCACATCTCATATGTGTCCTGGAAGATGACTGGGGAAAAACTAACAGGGCTATGCACAAAAGGGTGACGAGTTTGGAGAAGGCCGGAGAAGTGAACAGTCTAGGCCAAAATAGCTGATTTGGAAAAAAACTCAGCTCACTTTCCAGTTCAGCTATTTTGGCCTAGACTGTTCACTTCTCCAAACCCTTCACCCTTTTGTGAATAGCACTGTAAATTTTTAATACCTCTGGTGTCACCATCCCTACATTGTCCAGGAACAGGGAGGAGGGTCCTCCGAGGTTTCGCAGAGTAAGTACAATGGCAGCGATTACAATGACATGTCCCATCAATCCTTAGCCACGCAGAGACGTATATTGGCGTTTCTGCGAGCGGTGACTTTGCTCCTCTGTCACTGCCCACCATGGCTTTAAGCAGCAAGCGGCCTCAGAATTCCCAGATGGGTTTCCTATAGGGATGCACCAATACCACTTTTTTGGGTCTGAGTACGAGTACCGATACTTTTTTTTTAGTACTCGCCTATACCAATTACCGATACTTTTTCTTAAAGGGGCAGATCACATTTTTTCCAAAGCAATACAAAATAATGATTTTAGGTCAGTTTCTTAATATTATGAAGAACTGTTACTCAAAAGACAACATGACTGTCAAAAAATAAGTTTACTTTGCTTAAATTGTCACAAAGTTGTACTCAACGAAATTTGTCATAACATGTTTGTTAATTAAATATATTACACAAACAATAACATGTCATTAATAATAACAAAGGTGCAATACAGCAATATATAACAGCACTGTATAACAGTGCACTCACTGTGTACTCATAGAGAACAGTATGGGCTAGATTACAGTTCTTTGTTAAGCTTTACCGATGCTCTCCTTACATTTCCACACTGTGTGGCACAGTTATATCTAATTCTGCATACCTGGCTGTATATTATACATTAAAAAATGTAATATACAGCCAGGTATGCAGAAATAAATATATAAAACTGTTCCACACTATGTGCATGCATTATGCACTACAGTGTTCGGGCCTTGACATGTGCTCAGCCTCATCCATTTTCCACCATATAGGGATACTGCGGAGTCTTCTTTCGGCCGTTCGCCCGTGGAGAAGGAGATCGCGGCCATCTTGCATGAATGCAGACGCGGTCCTGTGTGCTGTGTGCGGCGGTGGAAGATGGCGGACACAGGTACTCGTTTTAGACTTCAGAGCATTTGCACGAGTACGAGTACCCATGCAAATACTCGGTATCGCGGCCGATAACGATGCTTGTATCGGTGCATCCCTAGTTTCCTACAATACCAATAACCCTCAGCGGATACTTACTCTTTCCCCTCCTCGTCAATGTCGTCCACTTCATACCTAGAACAGAAGAGACGTTTTAGTCTGATGTACCTGATGTGACGTCATCGCCCTCGCTGACCACACCAGGCAATGGGACTTACTTGTTTGCTGCGTGGCTGTAGCTGACCACCTCGGCCAGAATCCACTGCTCGTCGCCGTCCACCGCCTTAACCCTCGCCGCCACCTTGTCACCAGGCTTGGCCACGTAATCGCTGGACGCAGGGATGGCACCGCATAAAGGAGGGGGCCTGTGTGATGAAAGCAGAGAATATGAAAAATACAAAATTTGAGTTGGAAATGTTCAGAACGCAGCAAAAAAAAATTAGTAGACGGGTTGTAGCTCATTATGTACAGAGGCTGCGCTTCCTGCTTAGTACAGGGTTCTACCTTACTGCTCCTTCTCATACAAGTCAACTAGACAGTTCTGACTACCAGGATTGTAAACCGAGAAGGTTAACGTGGGGACCCTCCATAGCAAACGGAAGGTCGGCTTTTTTTGCCAGCCTCCTATAAACACAAATGCATCAAAAAGCATTCCCAATATAACATACGAGCTGCAGCACTTAAAGGAGAACTATGGGGGGAGTGCTTTTCACTCATCCTCATAGTTCTGGGCAACGAGCTGCAATAATGAAACGGTCACAGGTCGGCTCAGTAGATCGGGCAGTGAGCGAACACATACCGGGGTTCGCTCACTTCTTGATCCTGTCACTGCAGAGAGCCGTGACAGGTAAGGGACTGGATTCCCCCCTCCGATCCTCCAGCGCTGACTGGCGGAACGGACGGGGGCGGGTACAGCTGGCTCTGCCTCTAGATGGGCAGAGCCAGCTGTCACTCACGCAGCTGGGCGGATACAGACATAATTGTTGGCAGCTGCGGCATCTCAGTATACCGCGAGCTGTAGCTTGCGGTATACTGAGCTTTGGGTGACGGGAGGACGCTAGTTTGTGTCCTCCCGTTACCCTTAGAACTATGGGGAAAAGCCCTGACCCCATACTTCTTTAATTATAAATGCATCTGAACTGACAGCTTTCTCTTAGACCCTCTGCAAAGCCCTAGACGTACCTGTTGTTCCTGCCACTGAAGTCCACCTAATGCAGCTTCCTGTGATGGGGTGGCAACAATACTGCACTGCTGCTGAATTCAGAGCAGAGTTGTCACTCTCATGTAGACTGTGCCTGCTTGCACTACAGTGAAAGGAGAACATTTAGCAGGGGAGTGGCCATCAGCATTGTCACTGTGGATTATTAGTCCTGTAAATCAGACCTAGTCCCACCCACTTGTTCCTGGATTGACAGCACAACTTCTGCTGCTAAAACCCTCCCACTGTAAGTTGCAGTGCCTGCGAGGGGGACGTATAAGACACTGTGGAGGATTTGGTTCAGTCGGGAGAGTTAAAGGACATTTTTGTGTTTACTTTGAGCCTTGTGCATCGCATAGTAACTGGATTTGAGACTTGTATAGACCGTCATACAGGAGCCTTTAGATGTTTCTCAAGGCCGGCCCCTGCCCAAATTTCTATACATACTTCTCTCCAGGTTTTCCGATCCACAAGGGAAGGGTCATGGCGGACTGTTGGAGTAGGGTCATGAGCACCCCTCGTCTCATAGTCTTGCGGGGAGGCTCCGAGTCATGGTACAGCCCGGCGATCTTTGCAGCTGCAGGAAGAAGAAAGAAGATGAGAATCCAGTAGAGGCCGGGGACAGGAAGTGCGGAGGAGGCTGCAACACTCACCGATTCGTCTCTCCTCCAGAAGAGATTTGATTTCAGCAATTTTATCCAGAGATCTGCGCAGAATACTGAGGAAGAAGCAGAGCAGACGTCCAATGAGATTCTTGTACATGGCGGACACATGACAAAACTGTATCATCGGATCTTGCAGTATGACTTCCCTCTGTACTCACTTGCACTCTGCCTCAGCGTCGGCCTTGGCTGTGGTGTAGAGTCCTCGCAGTTTGGTGCGGTAATAAGGAGAGACTGCAGAGAGAGGAGACAGTTACTGCACAGTCCCCGCTCATCCCAGACACACGCACACCATCCGTGACACTCACTCTTGTTCTCGGTCTGCATCCTCTCGTGAGTCTTCTGGATGTTCACCAGGTTGTGCTCACTTCTCGACCTCTCCTCCTGGAAACACAAATTATGATTGAACACTGGGCCGTCTTTGGGCCATAAACCTACACATGCTAAAGGAAGCTAGATCTGATGACACGTCACTACAGAATACTCAGATCACATCAGCGTTCTTCACCTGCGTCTGCTTGATGAGCTGGTGCAGTTCATTCAATAACTCCGATATCCGGGTGTCCGCCGACACCAGCGCCATTTTCCCTTCTGTCGCCCTGCAGAATAAAAATAATGTTATTTCTTGCAACGTGGCAAGATAAACGGATGCCGGAGCCTTTTGTGAGTGATGAGCTGGTCTGTGAGGGATCTACGGGAAGTCAGACAAAATGTCTTACATTACATAGAATAACTGTATTGTCCCTTATACATCCTATTAAAAGGAGGACTATGAGATGAGTGCTTTTCACTCACCTCATAGTTCTAGCCGACTTGTGACAATGAGACTGTCTACTGAGACTGTCAGTAGATCGGGAGGTGAGCGAACACATACCGGCGTTCACTCACCTCTCGATCCTGTCACAGCTCTCTGCCGTGACAGGGGAGGGGCTGGATTCCCCACTCCCCGCTCCGCCAGCGCTGACTGGCGGAACGGACATGGGAGGGTACAGCTGGCTCTGCCTCTAGATAGGAAGAGCCAGCTGTCAGTCACGCAGCTGGACGGATCCCGGCACAACTGCCGGGATCCGCTTCAGCGTCTCAGTATATCGCGAGCAGCGGCTCGCGGTATACTGCGGCGTCTCAGTATACAGTTCGCAGTATACTGAGCCTAGGGTGACAGGAGGACGCTAGTTTGTGTCCTCCCGTTACCCTAAGGAGAACTATGGGGAAAAGCCTTAACCCCCTAGTTCTCCTTTAACCCTGTGTGTTGTGGCATGGGCAGGGCGCCCTCTGCTGGTGATATATACACATTACATAGTATTTCACTGTGGGGCCCACTGACTCTCCCCTATCTGCAATGTGTGTGGTGTGGCAGGTGCAGAGCATTACATAGTATAAGATCAGTATAATGCCCCCTGGTTCTCCCCTATTAGACCTGTGTGTGTTTTGGGAGGTGCAAACCCCCCGCCGCTGGTGATATATACACAGTACATAGTATAATATCAGTATAAGACCCCCCTGGTTCTCCCCTACAAGCCCTGTGTGTGATGTCCCATTGACAGAACGCCCCCTGGTGGTCATATAAATACACTATAGTATAATATCACTATAAGGCCCCCTCAGCTCTCTCCTGTAAGCCCTATGTGTGGTGTGGGAGGTGCAGAGCGCCTCCCTGGTGGTCATATATACACATTACATAGTTTAATATCAGTAGAAGGCCCCCCATCTCTTTCCTGTAAGCCCTGTTTGTGTTGTGGCATGGGCAGAGCGCCCCCTGCTGAAGATATACACACATTACATAGTTGAGTATTGGTATAAAGCCCCCCTGGCCCTGTCCTATTAGCCCTATGTGTGGTGTGGCATGTGCAGCGCGCCCCCTGCTGGAGATATACACACATTACATAGTATAGTGTCATTATAAGGGCACCCCTAGTTCTGTCCTATCAGCCCTCTCCTAGCGCCCTCTGGCGGAGTCTTCCGGCGGTACTTACGGCATGGTGGTGCCCGGGTCTCCGCACACTCCAATCTCTGTTGGGGGGAGGGGTCGCAGCTCACTATATATCGCGATACACGCCTGCGCACACCAGCGATTTATATCGCCGCACACTCACCTCACAGGAGACGCGGCCTCTCACCAGGGACAACAGAGAGGGCGGTGCGGGGCGCGAAGTGATGACGTCACGGTTGCCCGGGAGACGGACGGGAGGAGAGGGAGCTGTGCGCGCAAGCGCGGTGAAGGTAGCCGTGACGTCACTCCCGTGACATGCTACACGTCTGGCAGTGGTAGGATTGTCCTGTGGTCTGCACTGATAACTGAGATTATATACAGTGCTTATAGGGAAATAAGAAGCTGAATGGATATTACTAAAGTGTAAATATGAGGTGATACCGAGAGCAGAAAAATGGAACAGGCTGAACTGCTCCAGTCAGCCATCATCACCCAGTCATGGTGCTCCATGGTCAGCCGTTATCCCAAGTCATGGCGCGCCATGGTCAGCCGTTATCCCAAGTCATGGCGCGCCATGGTCAGCCGTTATCCCAAGTCATTGTGCGCCATGGTCAGCCGTTATCCCAAGTCATGGTGCGCCATGGTCAGCCGTTATCCCAAGTCATGGTGCGCCATGGTCAGCCGTTATCGCCAAGTCATGGTGCGCCATTGGCCAGCCGTTATCACCAAGTCATGGTGCGCCATGGTCAGCCGTTATCGCCAAGTCATGGTGCGCCATGGTCAGCCGTTATCCCAAGTCATGGTGCGCCATGGTCAGCCGTTATCACCCAGTCATGGTGCGCCATTGGCCAGCCGTTATCGCAAAGTCATGGTGCGCCATTGGCCAGCCGTTATCGCCAAGTAATGGTGCGCCATGGTCAGCCTTTATCAACAGTCATGGTACACCAGGCATGATATGCTATTCCTCTAGGATATCCTATGCTGCTCAGCTTCCTCCAGGAATTCTTATGCTGCTCAGCTTCCTCCAGGAATTCCCATGCTCTTCAGCTTCCTCCAGGAATTCCCATGCTCTTCAGCTTCCTCTAGGAATTTCCATGCTCTTCAGCTTCCTCTAGGAATTTCCATGCTCTTCAGCTTCCTCTAGGCATTTCCATGCTCTTCAGCTTCCTCTAGGAATTTCCATGCTCTTCAGCTTCCTCTAGGAATTTCCATGCTCTTCAGCTTCCTCTAGGAATTTCCATGCTCTTCAGCTTCCTCTAGGAATTCCCATGCTCTTCAGCTTCCTCTAGGAATTCCCATGCTCTTCAGCTTCCTCTAGGAATTCCCATGTTCCTCAGCTTCCTCTTGGAATTCCCATGCTCCTCGGCTTCCTCTAGGAATTCCCATGCTCTTCAGCTTCCTCCAGGAGATCCTATGCTCCTCAGCTTCCTCTAGGATATCCCATGCTCTTCGGCTTCCTCTAGGAATTCCCATGCGCCTCAGCTTCCTCCAGCAATTTCTATGCTCCTCAGCTTCCTCCAGGAATTCTTATGCTCCTCAGCTTCCATTAGGAATTCCTATGCTCCTCAGCTTCCTCCAGGAATTCCTATTCTCCTCAGCTTCCTCCAGGAAATCCTACGCTCTTCAGCTTCCTCTAGGAATTCCTATGCTTCTCAGCTTCCTCTAGGAATTCCTATGCTCCTCAGCTTCCTGTAGGATATCCCATGTTCCTCAGCTTCCTCTAGGAATTCCCATGCTCTTCAGCTTCCTCCAGGAGATCCTATGCTCCTCACCTTCCTCTAGGAATTCCTATGCTCCTCAGCTTCCTCCAGGAATTCCTATGCTCCTCGGCTTCCTCTAGGATATCCCATGTTCCTCAGCTTCCTCCAGGAATTCTTATGCTCCTCAGCTTCCTCTAGGAATTCTAATGCTTCTCAGCTTCCTCTAAGAATTCTTATGCTCCTCAGCTTCCTATAGGAATTCCTATGCTCCTCGGCTTCCTCTAGGATATCCCATGCTCCTCAGCTTCCTCTAGGAATTCCTATGCTCCTCAGCTTCCTCTAGGATATCCCATGTTCCTCAGCTTCCTCTGGGAATTCCTATGCTCCTCAGCTCCAGGCTATGGCTGGGTGGAAGATTTATAAATAGACCCCTTAAAGTGTAGTTCCACTTTTGCAGTCAAATTTAAGAACCCCCTCCCCATGTTCTGTTTTCACACAGATTCCATCTGTTTTCACACAAACAGATGGAAAATCCTCCAATGGGGACACTAGTTCTGGTGACCCGTCTGAACACCAGGGATTTCCCTCCCTTTGACGGGATTTCCTCTCACTTCCTGTCATAGCTATTGGACAGCAAATAAAGGGAGATGTCCCCAGTGGGACACAGGTGGCACAAAAAGTGCTGTCAGGGGTTATAACCCCAAAACTAAAGACAACGTTTTGGCTTGAACAGCTTTAGATATCCTTCAGGTCACTTTTTTTTTTATTCCTCATTTGCGCGCTGCGTTGGCGAGAACGCCAATCCGGGGACCTGAGGGATTTTTCCGCCCTATTTACCAAAACAGTTACTGCTGGTGAAGTACACAAGTTTCCCCGTGTTTACCAGGAAGCGCTGAGCCAGCAACTTATCTGTATTTGCAGGTCGATGGTTCACCGCGGGTCTCGGCGCCCTTATCTGGCGAACACGTCGGGAATAACCTTGCGGGAGAAAGCTGTTTATGTGTTGGAGGGAAACGTATCATGTGTGAGGAATACAGGCTGATCTCAGACAACACGTGAGCCGTGTTTGTATACAGAGTGTGTCATGCAGCACGGCACGCAGCCCCAGGGTGAATGTACATACACAAATGATTCACACAAGGATATGACATCATAGTGGAGGAATGTGACATTCAGACGGGGATGGACACTAATGATGATAAAGAGGAACAATGTGGACTTTCTGCAAATACAATGAGGGGTAATTTATCAATACTGGAGCAGACACAAATCTAGAGCAGTTGCCCATGGCAACCAATCAGCATCCACCTTTCATTTTCAAACCTTAACTGAACAAAGTGAAGGGAGAAGCTGATTGGTTGCCATGGGCAACTGCTCCAGTTTTGATTAATCCCCCCCACCCCCCTCCCAATGTCTGCAATTATACCTGAAATTTGGTTTAACACTTTCCTCCTCCATCCAAAGTATACAAGTTTTTGGCTTTAGATATTTTAACTTTGTTTGGTATTTGTGATTTGGGTAGGAAGGATCTCAGTGTTCTGATTGGATGACAGCACATCTCAGGTCATAGTGTGTGACTATGTGGGGGGACATTAGAGTGTAAGCTACTCTGTACATGTCTACACATATGACATCACCGCTAGTCATAACATGTGCTCTTTATTCCACGCTTTGGCTTTCAGGAATTCTTATCGCTCTGACAGCAAACAAACATAACACACAGAACCCATGATCTATGAATCACCATATGTCTCACCCTCAGCCCCGCCTCCTCCTCCCTGTCCCCGCCCACTGACCACCTCCACCTCAGTCCACCCCTGCCTGGCGCCTCCTTCCCACCTTGTGATGTTTTGCTCCTCTCGTGTTTGCAGTGGAGGGAAGCCAGGCAACTCCCAGAGGGGAAAATTCTGGAAGATTACAGAACAATCTGTACAAAGCTTCCAATTCACTTTCTGAACATTTTCCTTAAAGGGGATGTCTGCCTGGTGGGGAAAGGGAGAGATCCTGTGAAGGGGGGGCGGGGGACCCTTTCCTGGTGATAGCTGTGCATTGGATTATTTAATAGACAGTTTTGGGGTCTCCGGGGATAAGAGGGGAAGCGACGATACTGCGACAATCATCGAGGGAGCGCGCGTTGGCGACTCCTCTGTCAGCCAGGTGGAAGTGAGAGCGTGCTAATTACAGGATGTGACACAGTGATGACACCGCTGCCAATGGAGGCGACATTGTTGCTGAAACTACAAATCCTATCATGCTTCTGCCTCTGGGAGTCATGCCTGTGGCTTGCAATGCCTTATGGGATTTGTAGTTTCTGCACAGCTGGAGAGCCAAGGTTGCCTACCCCTGGTATAGATCCATTAAAACGATGTAATGTTCTGCGGATTCCCCATAGCATCATTTATTTATTTTTAAACGTGCAATGCTCTGCAGAATTCACAATCATATATAGATCACATACGAGGATGCAATGCTCTGCTGGATTCCTTGTAACCCAGATAAAGGTGAAATACACTGCAGAGCTCATAATAATATATCGGTCACATGATGCAATGCTCTGCTAAGCTCATGTAATATTGGCTGCAGATGAAGGTGTGATGTTCTGCATTGCTCACTACAGTATATAGGTCACATGAAAGGATGCAATGTTCTGCAGGCTGATTATGCTATAGAGCTCATAAAATGATGCAATGCTCTGCAAGCCTCCCTGTATTTTTATTAAAATATGCAATAGTCTGCACAGATCACAATAATATGGGTCAGTCATAAGGGTTAAATTCTCTTGACAAGCACCTTGTAAAACTGGTTACAGGTGCAATGTGCTGCAGATTCATGCAAGAATGCAATGTTCTGCTGCACATCCAGGTGCAATGCCCTGTAGCGCTGACTATAATGCAGGGTACACATGAAGGTGCAATGTCCTGCAGAGCTCCAGGTGGTACTGGTCACAAGTAAAGGTGCGATGTTTTGCAGGCTGCTTACACTGTAGAGCTCATAAAAGAATGCAACGTTCTGCAGATCTCCCTGTAATCATATTCAAAGATGCAATAGTCTGCAGTAATAGCTGTAACATAGGTCACACTCAAGGGTGAAATCCTCTGACAAGCACCTTGTAATACTGGTTACAGGTACAGATGCAATATTCTGCAGGCAAGTCTGCAATGGCATGCAGGTGCAATGCTCTGCACAACAGCAGGAGACAGGGCAGCAACTCTTGCTATCGAGTGGTAAGTGGTGCAATGCTCTGCTGCAGAGTAGCATGTAACCCATAGCTCCAATCAGGAAGGCATACAGCTCCAGTCCATAGTGGTGCAATGCCCTGCTGCCACCCAGGATGGGGCACGTGTTTATCTCCAGCAGAGCAGCAGCCAAGGAAGCAATGCTCTGCAGGGCTTAAGTACAGGACACAAGGATCTCCTGCACATATAGGGAAGTGGCAATGCTCTGCAGAGGGCCTGGGTGGGGTGATGGAGGGATGGTGTAATCCAATGTACACAAACAGCAAAGTCTGATGCAATGTGAAGGTGGAGCAGCTCCCAGCGAGGGGGAGAGGAGGAGGAGGAGCCACACTGATATAAAGAATCGGAACAAAGACTCCTCATCATAACAAGTCACCACAGAGAAGTGTACAGAGCGACCCAACGCACCTTCCCGGGACGCAGGAGACCCCTCAAAGATCGCCAACATGAGCAGTAGCTACGTACAAGCTGAGAAACTGCAGCCCACCGACTTCGAGGTGCGCTACTTCGACGACTACGACTACTACAACCTGACCGACCGCTACGCCTGTGAGTACAGCGCCATTACTCTCCGCACAGGAA